ACTGTAATGTATGGTGTGTGTGAGAGTGTAATACTACTGTAATGTATCGTGTGTGTGAGAGTGTAATACCACTGTAATGTATGGTGTGTGTGAGAGTGTAATACCACTGTAATGTATGGTGTGTGTGACAGTGTAATACTACTGTAATGTATGGTGTGTGTGAGAGTGTAATACTACTGTAATGTATGGTGTGTGTGAGAGTGTAATACCACTGTAATGTATGGTGTGAGTGAGAGTGTAATACTACTGTAATGTATGGTGTGTGTGAGAGTGTAATACTACTGTAATGTATGGTGTGTGTGAGAGTGTAATACCACTGTAATGTATGGTGTGTGTGAGAGTGTAATACCACTGTAATGTATGGTGTGTGTGAGAGTGTAATACCACTGTAATGTATGGTGTGTGTGACAGTGTAATACTACTGTAATGTATGGTGTGTGTGAGAGTGTAATACCACTGTAATGTATGGTGTGTGTGAGAGTGTAATACCACTGTAATGTATGGTGTGTGTGACAGTGTAATACTACTGTAATGTATGGTGTGTGTGAGAGTGTAATACCACTGTAATGTATGGTGTGTGTGAGAGTGTAATACCACTGTAATGTATGGTGTGTGTGAGAGTGTAATACTACTGTAATGTATGGTGTGTGTGAGAGTGTAATACTACTGTAATGTATGGTGTGTGTGAGAGTGTAATACCACTGTAATGTATGGTGTGTGTGAGAGTGTAATACCACTGTAATGTATGGTGTGTGTGAGAGTGTAATACCACTGTAATGTATGGTGTATGTGAGAGTGTAATACCACTGTAATGTATGGTGTGTGTGAGAGTGTAATACCACTGTAATGTATGGTGTGTGAGAGTGTAATACTACTGTAATGTATGGTGTGTGTGAGAGTGTAATACCACTGTAATGTATGGTGTGTGTGAGAGTGTAATACCACTGTAATGTATGGTGTGTGTGAGAGTGTAAGACCACTGTAATGTATGGTGTGTGTGAGAGTGTAATACCACTGTAATGTATGGTGTGTGAGAGTGTAATACCACTGTAATGTATGGTGTGTGTGAGAGTGTAATACCACTGTAATGTATGGTGTGTGAGAGTGTAATACCACTGTAATGTATGGTGTGTGTGAGAGTGTAATACCACTGTAATGTATGGTGTGTGTGAGAGTGTAATACCACTGGTGTGTGTATGGTGTGTGTGAGAGTGTAATACCACTGTAATGTATGGTGTGTGAGAGTGTAATACTACTGTAATGTATGGTGTGTGTGAGAGTGTAATACCACTGTAATGTATGGTGTGTGTGAGAGTGTAATACCACTGGTGTGTGTATGGTGTGTGTGAGAGTGTAATACCACTGTAATGTATGGTGTGTGTGAGAGTGTAATACTACTGTAATGTATGGTGTGTGTGAGAGTGTAATATTACTGTAATGTATGGTGTGTGTGAGAGTGTAATACCACTGTAATGTATGGTGTGTGTGAGAGTGTAATACCACTGGTGTGTGTATGGTGTGTGTGAGTGTAATACCACTGTAATGTATCGTGTGTGAGAGTGTAATACCACTGTAATGTATGGTGTGGTTATTACGCGTTTAGGGTCATTTTGGATTCTTGTGTATTAATCTGTTCTGTGTACCTTTTAATATATTTATACCACCTTGTATTTGCATTGTTTTAAATAAAATATATGAAAAAAATTATCATGGCACGTCAGAAGAATAGTAACTATGATGTTCATAAAGCACAGTGTTTTGAGATTTAGAGACAAATTGGTTTTATTTTCAAATATTACCACTGTCATGGCAAGACAAGTATAAAAATAACACATCGGCGTGAAACTCGCCTCTCAAGGTGGTGATGATAGATATTAGCCCATCCTTTTCCCAACTTCGCAGCGAGGGTGTTAACAGTCACACACACACACAAGACAAGGAAGAGGGTTCCTCTCAAATGTTTAGAAAATTCAGACATATGGGGATTCAAAATATCTCCACAACATTGAGTAAGGACAGGTAATGATAACACTGGTCCTGAGTGTAATCAAGTAATAACAACAGTGAGCGTGGGCAGGTAATGATAACACTGGTCCTGAGTGTAATCAAGTAATAACAACAGTGAGCGTGGGCAGGTAATGATAACACTGATCCTGAGTGTAATCAAGTAATAACAACAGTGAGCGTGGGCAGGTAATGATAACACTGGTCCTGAGTGTAATCAAGTAATAACAACAGTGAGCGTGGGCAGGTAATGATAACACTGGTCCTGAGTGTAATCAAGTAATAACAACAGTGAGCGTTAGCAGGTAATGATAACACTGGTCCTGAGTGTAATCAAGTTATAACAACAGCGAGCATGGGCAGGTAATGATAACACTAAACCTGAGTGTAATCAAGTAATAACAACAGTGAGCGTGGGCAGGTAATGATAACACTGATCCTTAGTGTAATCAAGTAATAACAACAGTTGGTTTAGAAAGACACGTAACCAAACACTATAATATATATATTAGAAAACGTTTCGGTCCTGGGACCTTGATCAAGGTCCCAGGACCGAAACGTTTTCTAATAAATATATTATAGTGTTTGCTTACGTGTCTTTCTGAACCAACTTGTCGGTATTTATTACCAAGGTTTATACAATAACAACAGTGAGCGTGGGCAGGTAATGATAACACTGGTCCTGAGTGTAATCAAGTAATAACAACAGTGAGCGTGGGCAGGTAATGATAACACTGGTCCTGAGTGTAATCAAGTAATAACAACAGTGAGCGCGGACAGGTAATGGTAACACAGGCCCTGAGTGTAATCAAGTAATAACAACAGTGAGCGTGGGCAGGTAATGATAACACTGGTCCTGAGTGTAATCAAGTAATAACAACAGTGAGCGTGGGCAGGTAATGACAACACTGGTCCTTAGTGTAATCAAGTAATAGCAACAGTGAGCGTGGGCAGGTAATGATAACACTGGTCCTGAGTGTAATCAAGTAATAACAACAGTGAGCGTGGACAGGTAATGATAACACTGGCCCTGAGTGTAATCAAGTAATAACAACAGTGAGCGTGGGCAGGTAATGGAAACACAGGTCCTGAGTGTAATCAAGTTATAACAACAGTGAGCGTGGGCAGGTAATGGAAACACAGGTCCTGAGTGTAATCAAGTAATAACAACAGTGAGCGTGGGCAGGTAATGGAAACACAGGTCCTGAGTGTAATCAAGTTATAACAACAGTGAGCGTGGGCAGGTAATGGAAACACAGGTCCTGAGTGTAATCAAGTAATAACAACAGTGAGCGTGGACAGGTAACGATAACACTGGTTCTGAGTGTAATCAAGTAATAACAACAATGAGCGTGGACAGGTAATGATAACACTGGTCCTGTGTGTAATCAAGTAATAACAACAGTGAGCGTGGGCAGGTAATGGTAACACAGGTCCTGAGTGTAATCAATAACAACAGTGTGCGTGGGCAGGTTATGATAACACTGGTCCTGAGTGTAATCAAGTAATAACAACAGTGAGCGTAGGCAGGTAATGGAAACACAGGTCCTGAGTGTAATCAAGTAATAACAACAGTGAGCGTGGACAGGTAACGATAACACTGGTTCTGAGTGTAATCAAGTAATAACAACAATGAGCGTGGACAGGTAATGATAACACTGGTTCTGAGTGTAATCAAGTAATAACAACACTGAGCGTGGGCAGGTAATGATAACACTGGTCCTGAGTGTAATCAAGTTATAACAACAGTGAGCGTGAGCAGGTAATGATAACACTGGTCCTCAGTGTAATCAAATAATAACAGTGAGCGTGGACTGGTAATGATAACACTGGTTCTGAGTGTAATCAAGTAATAACAACAATGAGCGTGGGCAGGTAATGATAACACTGGTCCTGAGTGTAATCAAGTAATAACAACACTGAGCGTGGGCAGGTAATGATAACACTGGTCCTGAGTGTAATCAAGTTATAACAACAGTGAGCGTGAGCAGGTAATGATAACACTGGTCCTGAGTGTAATCAAGTAATAACAACAGTGAGCTTGGGCAGGTAATGATAACACTGATCCTGAGTGTAATCAAGTAATAACAACAGTGAGCGTGGGCAGGTAATGATAACACTGGTCCTGAGTGTAATCAAGTAATAACAACAGTGAGCGTGGGCAGGTAATGATAACACTGGTCCTGAGTGTAATCAAGTAATAACAACAGTGAGCGTGGGCAGGTAATGATAACACTGGTCCTGAGTGTAATCAAGTAATAACAACAGTGAGCTTGGGCAAGTAATGATAACACTGATCCTGAGTGTAATCAAGTAATAACAACAGTGAGCGTGAGCAAGTAATGATAACACTGGTCCTGAGTGTAATCAAGTAATAACAACAGTGAGCTTGGGCAGGTAATGATAACACTGATCCTGAGTGTAATCAAGTAATAACAACAGTGAGCTTGGGCAGGTAATGATAACACTGATCCTGAGTGTAATCAAGTAATAACAACAGTGAGCGTGGACAGGTAATGATAACACTGGTCCTTAGTGTAATCAAGTTAACACTGTCCAGGTAATAAAATCAACTGACCTAAATGCCGTTAAACATTTTTAGGTTCAACATATTGAATAATAAGTTGTATCAAAAATACGTTACCACTTTTGGTTTTGATGTAAATCAAATTTGCAATGCTATATCAAGCATGCTGTGAGTGCAGTGCTCTTGTACATGTAGCTGACTTCTGTTCAATCGAGATAAGCCAATATTAATTTCACTTGATCATAGTATTTTAAATAGTACTGATCAGGGTCTTGTCATAAATACATTTCTGTTACCAAAGAAACATAAACTCTACTTACCTCTAGCACATTACCCAGACTCATTGAGATGTACATCAACAAAAGCTGCTAATAATTAGTTTGACTATGCAATCCACAGATTGTTACAAGCACACACGATCAACTGCCCATAGATAAATGACACATATGTACACAGTTATCTAAAATACCTGTCTTCATAAATGTGAGAAGCTTCTTTGTAGATTCCGGTGTAGATTGTTTTGTAGCCTTTAGGTACTGCATGATGAAAATATTGGGGGCGAAGTTCAGCATATTTTGTTCACCACACCCGTATGGCATTCTGATCAGGTTTCCAAGATTCTGTTTGGTAAACATTGTAGGAACACATTGTTAGTAAAAATAAAAAAATAATAATAAAGATACAAATGAACAAAAACTGAATAAAATATAATTAGATGATGTGTATTGTATATTTTGTCCAACCAATGAGATCACTTTATTCAGACTAGAAAATGTGTTTTTTGTTTGTTCATCAAAGAAAACTACTGAACATTGGTCTTTCTCATTAGTTGACCTGTTCAGATGTGCCGCCATTTTACTGGGGCCGTGGATGGACACAATTGAGGGTAGAGGAAGCCTTTGTCCCAGTAATGGTCCATACTAGCAACAGCCGCTGGCTTGCAGGTGCTGGACTCAGCGGTGAAAGTGAAAAGTATACAGTCACAGCGAACATTTTTGTAAGTGCCCGAGGGTTTTCATACGAAGGCAACCGGACAATGATCAGGAACAGGTCAGTTGCATAGTCTAAGTCAGTTACAGAATGGACTAGGTCGAGTGTACGGTCTTAATTAAGTGCAGGATCAAAGTTACGTGCAAGAAGAGACATCATTTGGCAGCAAACTGGGCCTAAATGGCACAACCTATTGTTGTTTGGGGACTTGGTACTTACAGAACAATCCTAATACGTAATTTAGATGATGCACGTCCCTGTAAATATCTTATCTTTATTGCACAACAAAATAAAGTCGGTAAGTTGTTTGACTGTTGCAAATATCTGACTTTTACTCCCATATAAATCGCAAAATCTTTCTTTCTTTCAACACACCGGCTGTATCCCACCGAGGCGGGGTGGTCCGAAAGGAAAAACGAATGTTTCACCTTTTACATTTAGTAATATATACAGGAGAAGGGGTTACTTGCCCCTTGCTCCTGGCATTTTAGTCGCTTCTTATAACACGCATTGCTTACGGAGGAAGAATTCTGTTCCACAAATCCCAAAATATTTGGAATATTTCCAAAAGTGCATCTTCAAAATTAAGAACAGCCATTCTTTTATGATTCCTGTGAATATTATTTCATTTAATTAAATAGTAAATGCTCGCCATAGTGAAATAAGTCAATAATTTACTTCCGCGATATTCACCTGGAACACCAGCCGGCCTCCTGACAGGAAAAAAAGAAATCGAGAAAATCACTTTTCCTTCAGTGTTTTCCTTATGGAATTAGTGATCTAATGTAGTTAGCCTCACAAAAACTCCGTTTTTTTCTTACGAAGGACCAGAGAACACGTTATGGAAAGGAACAGTAATTATTTCATATGCGGGATTGGTCGTGAACACTCGCATATTATGGCTTATTTTATTCATTCTAGAGTATAAATCATGTTTTTATGTTATTTATATTGTTTATTACGTCATATTACATAAATTTTAATAGATAAATAAGCCGTAGAGTTGATATTAGTGTTATAATGAAGTATTTTTTCCTTTCTCCCGAGAGCCAGGAACTCCGCCGATGAAAGCATATGTTCCCAGACGGTTCCTGATTGGCTGCCAGACTGCGTATTAGCTCCGCCCACTCTCTTATGATGCCAAATCGTCAATTATTATATAAGAAAGACTAATACAAGAAATTGCAAAAAAGAAAACGGAAAAAAATCCTAAAAATTTACTGGTTGTGAGCAGGGGTGCGGCGGCGTCATCACACATGATATAAATGACTATAATTCCTTGTTGGAACGTCGTAGAACATTAATTCTTGTAAAATTGTATCACCAATGAGTTAAGTTATTTTTCTATATGATTAACTGAATTTCTACATTATTTCAAATTTTTTTGGGCTGGCGGACGGTCATGTGATACTGTTCCTTCATGTTTCCACTAGTCTTTTGATTAGTAAAAATTAGTGTAATAATTCTGAGTTATTACATGTAGTTTGTATTACATATTAGCATCAGCATCCCTGTTAATAATACAAATGCGATAAGTAAGATGCTGGAAAACTACTGAAATATAATTTTGCTTATTAAATATACCTACGTTAAGGTACTCTTCGTTAAATTTCTAATTTGATTATCCACTGAACGATGGGTAGCAGTCTTTGCCAGGAATTTTGTAAGCATTAAGATCATTAAAGAAAGCTTTATTTCTGAGACACTGGTAATACAAATGATGTTATTTTATAATTATAGGGTTTATCTTTCTTTATATTTATATGTTGTATTTAAAATAAAGGTGTTCGTCAATCATGTTAAAATAATATTTTAAATGACAATTGGTAGGAGTGTTCTAACTATAGTTATTTGCTAAAATACTAAACTAAATTGAGATTTTTCCCGTTATATAAGTATTATATTATACTTACCCGACCCCCGCTGGCACCCATAACTTCTGACCATGGACCCACCTCTCATCACCATGGACCCACCTCTCATCACCATGGACCCACCTCTCATTACCATGGACCCACCTCTCATCACCATGGACCCACCTCTCATCACCATGGACCCACCTCTCATCACCATGGACCCACCTCTCATCACCATGGACCCACCTCTCATCACCATGGACCCACCTCTCATCACCATGGACCCACCTCTCATCACCATGGACCCACCTCTCATCACCATGGACCCACCTCTCATCACCATGGGACCCACCCCTTTATCACCATGGACCCACCTCTCATCACCATGGACCCACCTCTCATCACCATGGACCCACCTCTCATCACCATGGACCCACCTTCATCACCATGGACCCACCTCTCATCACCATGGACCCACCTCTCATCACCATGGACCCACCTCTCATCACCATGGACCCACCTCTCATCACCCAAAACAACCCACCACCACCACACATAACTGCCCAGGACAAGATAAATAGCAGTGAATGACCAGAAATAAGAACTGTTGTAGGATGTATGATTTATGATGTTATACAGCATAAAAGTTTTTAATGTGTAGCAAGTCTTCATAATAATTACATCCCACATACCCACATGCATTGACCTTCTAACACCCCACACCGGAGTGCAGAGCTGAAAGGTAAAGTGAAAATCAAGTTCTTGTGGTATCCCCAGTTGCAAATAGGATTCAGGCAGGATTTCAGTACAGTATACCTGTGGGGCATGTAAAATGGCTCTTGGGAAAAAATCCAGAATCATATCAACCTTTGCTTTTCAAAACATTATGTCTCCTGTGCAAGAATAAACACTTCATCTAAAAACGATATCCATCTGGAAAGGTGTTTCTGGATCTACAAAAAGGATGTGGAAGTATGGACAAATATCAGGAAAGCACTCAGGAGGTTGAACAATAAGAATGGAAACAAAGAGGAACTATTGGATAATCTACTCAGAAAATATAGAGCATGGGAGGATAGGAAAGGAGTAAAGTCTACAACAGTTGACCCAAAAACAGACACCCACTGGAACTGGAAAAAAAATAGGAAAAAAAAATCAGCTAGCTCAGTCCCCAGCCCTAGGGCTGACCCAGACCCAGCCCCCAGCCAGAGTGCAAAGCCAGATTCGGCTAAAGACCCCTCTACAGCCACCACAGCCATAGCCCCAAGTACAGATGTGGTAGAGAAGTCCTCTTCCGGGAAAAATCTTGGCCTGACAACTGAGGGTGGTGTCTCTGGTTTGGCTATGGAGGACTAGTGCATTTAAGGATCTTCACAGATTAGAAATGCATTCAGTACGAATTCCATCCAGCCAAAAGCAAAATGGTGCCAATTCTATGTTTGTGGCATCAGTAAGCATGGAATATCATGGAAAACAAATGGGACATGCAACTCTGAACATCCAAAAAATGCCTCGACCTCCTATCTAAAGGAGTGTGTCGTTCTACCTCTTGCAGTTTCTTCTACCCTGAGATGTGTCATTCTTCAGTCCTCGAATAACAATGCTACAATACCAACTGCCCTGCATACCACCTAAAAGGGACCAGGAGGCACAAACCCTGTATAACAAATCATAGTAGTTATGGTAGTTATGACAACTCCACTCCAAGAGACTTTTTAGTGGTAGGAAGCGAAGAAAGAAAATGGAAAGAGAAAACCAAATAGTCTACCACCTTGGAGACCTGGTGGACTGGAGGCACAGCCAGTGGCCCCTCATGACACACAACTAGTGATGCCAACAGCGAAATCCTCTCAACAAATAAGCAACACAACCTCATTTATATTTGCTAATACACAGGGCCTTGAGCCATCCACCAACAACAAAATACCTTTCATTAGTGGACTTCTAGTGGAAACAAATGCGATGTTTGCAGCATTCACAGAGACCCACGCAAAATATTATTTTGACAGGAAATTATGGATATCTGGGTACAGCCTGTTCAAATGCGGCAGAAAGAACAGGCAACAAGGATGGGGGGGTGGTTGGCCTGTATGTCAAAGAGTCGCTCATTTGCACGGAAATACTGAACATCACAAATGATGTAGTTGAAGTTCTAACAATAAAAATCAAGAACCAAAACTTAATCATTGTAATTGTATATAAGCCGCCAGATGCAACTTCCCAGGAGTTCAAAGAACAGCTATCAAAAATTGAATCCTGTCTAGAAAACCTTCCATCCCCATCCCCAAGCATCTTGCTGCTTGGTGACTTCAATCTAAGACATACAGAATGGAAGAATATAGTAAATAATGTTGTAGCAGAAATAACCCCTGGCGGCAGCTCACACACACACATGAGCTGCTGAACTTCTGCAATAAACACACCATAAGTCAGCACATAGTGGAGCCAACAAGACTGCAGAACACGCTAGACCTTATTTTCACAAATAATGAGGACCTAGTAAGAAACATAACAAATCAAAAACAACTAATTCTGATCACAATCTGATCGAAGTCCAGACTTACGTGCACAGGAGTCCTGATCAGCAAAATGCATACAGCTATGAGGGTGTCTTTACCAAATTCAACTTCAACAACAAGAACATCAACTGGGATCAGGTAAACTATGCCCTAAATGAAACATGTTGGGAAGATATATTAAATTACATGGACACTAACTAGTGCCTTGAAAAGATCAGCCTCCAGGTAGCTGAAGCATGTTTAAGGCATATTCCCCTAAGAAAAAAGAAGAGAAGACGTGAACTGGAGAGAGATGCTCCCTCTAAAGGAGAAGGCAAAGGATCACTGAGCTCCTAAAGAATGCCAGATTATCTGAAGCACACAAGGAAGCACTAACCAGGGAAGCGGTTAGTGAGACAAGAGGAACTATAAGCGATTAGTGAAATTGAAAGAAATTCGAAATATTTCTTTTCATATGCCAAAAACAAGGCATAAACTGCTTCTAAAATAGGGCTGCTGCTCAGACAAGACGGATCCCACGCAGATGACAACAAAGTAATAAGTGAGTTACTGAAATCTCAATATGACTGTGTTCAGCGACCCACTAGTCAGTCTAAATATAGACAATCCAAACAATTTTTTCATGAATGAGCCTCAAAACCCTGCCAATGTATGCGAAATTTCTGACATAACCCTAACTCCACTAGACTTTGAGAAGCCATCGACGACATGCCCATGCACTCAGCACCAGGCCCAGACTCGTGGTACTCTGTGTTCATTAAAAATTGCAAGAAACCCCTCTCAGGGGCCCTAAGTAAGCTATGCAGGAGGAGCATAGACACAGGTGAGATTCCACAGTCAATAAAAACAACGGATATAGCCCCACTTGATAAAGGTTGCAGCAGAGCAGTAGCTTAGAACTATAGTCCAATAGCTTTAACTTCCCACATCATAAAAATCTTTGAGAGAGTTCTAAGAAACAGGATAGCAAACCACCTGGACTCCCAAAAATTGCACAATCAAGGGCAACATGGTTTCAGAGCAGGTCGCTGCTCCCTTTCGCAACTTTTGAACCACTGTGATATGGTCTTAGATGCCCTAGAAAACAAACAGAATGCAGATGTAGTATAAAAAGATTTTGCAAAAGCCTATGATAAGAGCGATCATGGTGTAACAGCACACAAAATACGTGCTAAAGGGATAAGTGACAAAGTAGGCAGATGGACCTTCAACTTTCTAACCAATCGAAAACAAAGAGTAGTGGTAAACAGAGTTAAATTTGAAGCTGCCATAGTGAAGAGCTCTGTTCCACAAGGCACAGTACTCGCCCCTATCCTGTTCCTTATTCTCATATCAGACATAGACAGAAATGTAAACCATAGCACTGTATAATCCTTTGCAGACGATACTAGGATCTGCATGAGAGTGCCATCCATTGAGGATACGGCAAATCTTCAAGAAGATATAAACCAAGTTTTCCAATGGGCAACGGAGAACAATATGATGTTCAATGAAGGCAAATTCTAACTACTCCGTTATGGAAAACTGGAGGAAATAATAACTAGGACTGAGTATACTACAAACTCTAATCATACAATAGAGAGGAAAAGTAATGTGAAAGACCTGGGTGTGGTAACGTCCGCGAAGAAACTGATAGGATGGATAATGAAAACAATGATCCTTTTTAAATCACTTGTTCTCTCTTGGCTGGAAAACAGCCGTATATTAACATCCCAATTCAAGGCAGGTGAAATTGTAGATCTAGAGAATGTACAGAGAACCTTTACTGCACGTATAAGTTCCATCAAAACCTGACTACTGGGAAACCCTGGAAGCACCTGAAAGCAAAGGACTTGGCAGGCGATGCAACATACCCCCAGTGAAAAGTAGGGGCGCCACTGGTACACTAAGAAAAAATACAATAAATGTCTGGGGTCCAAGAGTGTTCAACAACCTCCCACCAGCCATAAAGGGCATTACCAATAGACTGCTGGTTGTCTTTAAGAGGGAGCTGGACAGATACCTAATGTCGGTGCCGGATCAGCCGTGCTGTGGTTCATACGTTGGACTATGTGTGGTCAGTAGTACCAGCCTCGTTCGTCTGGCCCTGATCCACCGGGAGGCCTGGTCGTGGAGCGGGCCGCGGGGGCGTTGATCCCCGAAATTCCCTTCAGGTAGACTCCAGGCAGGTAAACCACTCAGTGATTTCCTATAAAACTTTCAAATCACTTGTGCGAGATCTTGTTGTGGAGTGCGCCAAGAATGTTACAATTTAATCAGCAATCGTTGCATAACCATTAACATGACATCATGATCACAGAAATGGAAATACAGAGTATAGCTGTTCAGGAGCCCCACTATAATACCTGCCCATTTCTACCCGCCAACCAAGAGAGAGAGCCCACTTTCCCTGCCAAGGGAAAGTGTTTTTATTATATATCAATGACCTTGACGAGGGAATTACTAGTGATATGAGCAAATTCGCTGATGACACGAAGATAGGTAGGATAATCGATTCAAACGTAGATGTCACAGAACTTCCAGGAGGATTTAGAGAAACTCGATTCGTGGTCAGAAAAGTGGCAGACGAAGTTCAATATAGATGAATGCAAAGTTCTGAAGTTCGGGAATGTTCATAACTTAAGCACTTAAAAGCTAAATAATGTGGAACTTAGCCATACAGATTAAGAAAAGGACTTGAGGGTTATGGTGAGCAGCAACCTTAAACAAGACAGCAATGCTTAAGCGTACGTAATAAGGCAAATAGATTATAGCGATTTATATCAAGAAGTTATACTGCAGTTTTATACATCATTAGTAAGGCCTCGCCTAGATTATGCAGCTCAGTTCTGGTCTCCATATTATAGAATGAATATAAATTCATTAGAAAACATTCAGCAAAGATTGGCATAATTAATACATAGCATTAGAAATCTCTCGTATGAAGAAAGATTGAAGTCCCTTAAATTACATTCACTTGTAAGACGAAAAATGAGGGAAGACATGTTCGAAGTGTATCAGTGGAAGATAAATTTTAATAAATGGGATATAAAGAGTCTTGAGGATCTCCCACCAAGAAAGTGCCCGCAGAAATGGATTCAAACTAGATCAGTTTAGATTTAGAAAGGATATAGGAAAATATTGGTTTGGAAATAGGGTAGTTGATAAGTGGAACAGTCTGCCTAGTAGGGCTATTGAGGCTTAAACCTTGGGTAATTTCAAGTTTAGGTTTGATAAGTACATTAGTGAGAGGGGCTGGACTTGAGTCGGACTTGCACGTGAGTTAGTAGATTTAACAAAGCTTATTGGGCGGGTAGGGCTGAAAATGGGTTGGGCAAATATTCTATTAGAGGGTTGGATTTGTGAAGGACCTGCCTACTATGGACCAACAGGCCTACTATAGTGTTCCTAATTTCTTATGTTCTAAGTACACTACCTCAAGTGTGAGAGCAAGAAGGTCTCCAACAGCCGTGACCCAGGCTCGATCTGATCCTTCAACGATGTGTGAAGGTGTCTGCAGCTCCCACTGCTCCAGAGAGTCGTCGCCCGTCTTCACATCTTACCAAAAAATATTTTTTTCCAATTTAAAATTCTTTCTATTTAAAACCAATAGTTATAAAATCATGAAATGGATGTTAGATATTGAGAAAATAAAATTATTATTTATTCATATAAGATCACGGTAAACAGATGATATCACAATGTGCAGAACAATAGTAGGAGTCCCAGCGCTTTCGTGATTTCTGACATAATTAAAGAACTGTAGAAATAAAAAATCAAAGAGAAGATATGTAAGAAACGAGACCACATCTCACATTTAATGATGATATAAGTAAAACACAGCTTATATTCTACCCAAGCATTAAAAATTTAACTTGTGTAATGCATCTTAAATTCTTCCCAAATTTTATTAATTTTAAAGGAATCAAATTTGTATAACCAAAATGCAATATTCATATTATTTTCAAAAGTATTTTTTTCTGAAACTTGTTTCCATTATATTCCTCTCGACCATAAACTTACTGGGTACAGCCTTTCAATTAATTTTCGAAAGGCTGAAAATATTTTATACACACACACACACACACACACACACACACTCACACACACACACACACACACACACACACACACACAGGGGGGGAGGTGGGGTTGCTCTGCTCGTAAAAAACAGATGGAAATTCGAGAAAATGGAAGGAATAGATGAGACGGGAGAAAGAGACTACATAGCAGGTACACTTCAGTCTGGGGAACACAAAGTGGTCATTGCAGTGATGTATAATCCACCACAGAACTGCAGGAGGCCAAGAGAGGAATATGAAGAGAGCAACAGAGCAATGGTGGACAGACTTGCTGAGGTGGCAAGAAGAGCTCACTCCAGCAGAGCAAAGTTGCTGGTTATGGGGGATTTCAACCACAGGGAGATTGACTGGGAAAACCTGGAGCCACATGGGGGTCCCGAAACATGGAGAGCCAGGATGTTGGACGTGGTGCTGGAAAACCTCATGCACCAACATGTTAAGGACACTACCAGAGTGAAAGGGGAGGATGAACCAGCAAGATTGGACCTTTTTGTTCACCCTGGGCAGCTCAGACATTGAGGACATCAAGTATGAGAGTCCCCTAGGAGCTAGCGACCACGTGGTTCTGTGCTTTGAATACATAGTAGAGCTGCAAGTGGAGAGAATAACAGGAGTAGAATGGGAAAAACCTGACTATAAAAGAGGGGACTACATAGGGTTGAAGAACTTCCTGCGGGAGGTCCAGTGGGACAGAGAACTGGCAGGAAAGCCAGTAAATGAAATGATGGAATATGTAGCAACAAAATGCAAGGAGGCAGTGGAAAGGTTCATTCCCAAGGGCAACAGTAACAACGGGAAGACCAGAACAAGTCCCTGGTTCACCCGACGGTGTATGGAGGCAAAAACAAAGTGCAATAGAGAATGGAAAAAGTACAGAAGGCAGAGAACACACGAAAATAGGGAGATCAGTCGCAGAGCCAGGAATGAGTACGCACAGGTAAGGAGGGAGGCCCAGTGACAGTATGAAAATGACATAGCATCGAGAATCAAGACTGACCCGAAAACTGTTGTATAGCCACATCAGGAGGAAGACAACAGTCAAAGACCAGGTGATCAGATTAAGGACAGAAGGTGGAGAACTCACAAGAAATGATCAGGAGGTATGTGAGGAGCTGAACAGGAGATTTAAGGAAGTTTTTACAGTAGAGACAGGAAGGGCTGTGGGAAGACAGACAGAAGGGAACATCAAGAGGGAATATACCAACAAGTGTTGGATGACATACGAACAACTGAGGAGGAGGTGAAGAAGCTCTTAAGTGACCTTGACACCTCAAAGGCGATGGGACCAGACAACATCTCCCCATGGGTCCTTAGAGAAGGAGCAGAGATGCTGTGTGTGCCTCTAACCACAATCTTCAACACATCCCATGAAACTGGGCAACTACCTGAGAAATGGAAGACAGCTAATGTAGTCCCCATATTTAAGAAAGGAAACAGAAACGAGGCACTAAACTACAGACCTGTGTCTCTGACATGTATCGTGCGCAAAGTCATGGAGAAGATTATCAGGAGGAGAGTGGTCGAACACCTGGAAAGGAACAAGATAATAAATGAAAACCAGCATGGGTTCATGGAAGGAAAATCTTGTATCAAAAACCCCTCCGGGAGTTTTATGAAAAGGTAACAGAAAAAGACAGGAGAGAGGGTTTTGGGTAGATTTTTTTCCTAAAATGCAGGAAGGCCTTTGACACAGTTCCCCCCAAAGATTTGTGCAGAAATGGGGGATCGGCACACGTAAAAGGAAAGGGCACTGCAATGGATAAGGGAATACCTGACAGGAGGCAGCAACGAGTCATGGGAGTGAGGGTTCACAGTGGGCGCCGTTACGAGCGGGGTCCCCCAGGGGCAGTTTAGGACCAGGCATTTTTTTATATGTGAAAGACATGATGGAAGGAATAGACTCTGAAGTGTCCCTTTCGCAGAGACGTGAATTGATGAGAAGAATTAAATCGGCGAGGAAGGCAGGACGCAAGAGACCTGGAGAGGTGGACATGTGGTCCCGTAATGGCTTCCGAATTCAATCCCGCCAAAGGGAATCAAGAAGAGGGGGAGGGGCAAAGAAGACCCCAACAGAGTATAGGCTATGGCAAAGATACAAAACCTCATCGGGAGAAAGACCTTGGGGTGACCGTAACACCGAACATACCCGGGGGCACACATCAACCAAATAACCGCTGCCGCATCGGGCGCCTGGGAAACCCGAGAATAGCGTTCCGAAACCTTAAAAGGAACGTTTTTTAAGACATGACCTGTGTATTTAGGCCCCCTATGGGGTATGCAGACCCTCTGGAACCCACACCTGGTCAACATAAGAAGTTAAGAAAGTACAAAGGTTTTCAAAAAAGGCTAGTCCCAAGTCAAGGGGAATGTCGTACGAGGAAAGGGTTAAGGGAAAAACGGACTGACGAACTGGAGGACAGAGGGTCAGGGGGGACATGTAACGACTCAGATCTGCGGGGGAATAGACAAAGGGGGACAGAGATAGGATGTTCCCGAGAGGGGCCCCGGGGGCAAGGGGGGGCACAACGGAAGCTGAAGACTCAGACGAGTCACAGGGACGTTAGGAAGTATTTCTTCAGTCATAGAGTTGTCAGCAAGTGGAATAGCCTAGCAAGTGAAGTAGTGGAGGCAGGAACCATACATAGTTTTAAGAAGAGGTATGCCAAAGCTCAGGAAGCAGAGAGAGAGAGGATCCAGTAGCGATCAGTGAAGAGGCGGGGCCAGGAGCTGAGTCTCGACCCCTGCAACCACAATTAGGTGAGTACAATTAGGTGAGTACACACACATTAAGTGCACTAGAGAATGGAAAAAAATACAGAAGGCAAAGGACCCAGGAAAATAGGGAGATTAGTCGAAGAGCCAGAAACGGGTATGCACAGATAAGAAGGGAGGCCCAGAGACAGTACGAAAACAGCATAGCAACGAAAGTTAAGATTGACCCAAAATTGCTGTATAGCTACATTAGGAGGAAGACAACAGTCAAAGACCAGGTGATCAGGCTGAGGAAAGAAGGTGGGAAACTCACAAGAAACGATCAAGATGTATGTGAGGAGCTCAACATGAGATTTAAGGAAGTATTTACGGTGGAGATAGGAAGGACTCTGGAAAGACATCACAGAGGGGGACACCAACAAGGACTATACCAACAAGTGTTGGATGACATACACACAACCGAGGAAGTAAAGAAGCTGCTAAATGACCTTGATACCTCAAAGCTGATGGGAACGGTCAACATCTCCCCGTGGGTCCTTAGAGAAGAAGCGGAGATGCTGTTTGTGCCATTAACCACAATCTTTAACACATCCTTTGAAACTGGGCAACTACCTGAGGTATGCAAGACGGCAACTGTAGTCCCCATTTTTAAGAAAGGAGACAGAAACGAGGCACTAAACTATAAACCAGTGTCACTGACGTGTATAGTATGCAGTCATGGGGAAGGCTATCAGGAGGAAAGTGGTGGAGCATCTGGAATGGAACAAGATTATAAACGACAACCAGCATGGATTCATGGGAGGCAAACCCTGTTTCACAAACCTATTGAAGTTTTATGACACGGAAACAGAAGTAAGACAAGAGAGAGAGATGGGTGGGTTGACTACATTTCTGGGATTGGAAGAAATTAGTGCAGGAGCTGGAGGATCAGGCATGTATAACACGAATGGCACTGCAATGGATAAAAGAATACCTGACAGGGAGGCAACAACCAGTCATGGTACGTAATAATGTATCACAGTGGGAGTCTGTGACGAGCAGGGTCCCACAGAGGTCAATCCTAAGACCAATGCTGTTCTTGAAATATGTGAATAACATGACGGAAGGGACAGACTCAGATGTGTCCCTGTTTGCAGACAATGTGAAGTTAATGAGAAGAATTAAATCAGATGAGGATCAGGCAGGACTACAAAGCGAGCTGGAAAGGTTGAACACGTGGTCCAGAAACTGGCTACTCGAATTTAACACCGCCAAATGCAAAGTCATGAAGACTGGGGAAGGGCAAAGAAGACTTCTGAGTATAGGCTAGGTGACCTAAGACTGCAAACCTCGCTCAAGGATAAAGATCGGGATGAGTATAACACCGAGCACGTCTCCGGAAGCACACATCAACCAGAAAACTGCTGCAGTATATGGACGCCTGGCAAACCTGAGAACAGCGTTCCGATACCTTAGTAAGGAATCGTTCAAGACACTGTACATGGTGTACGTCAGGCCCATACTGGAGTATGCAGCACCAGTTTAGAACCCACACCTGGTCAAGCACGTCAAGAAATTAGAGAAAGTGCAAAGGTTTGCAGCAAGGCTAGTACCAGAGCTAAGGAGAATGTAATGCAAAGAAAGGTTAAGGGAAATCGGTCTAACGACCCTGGAGTACAGGAGGGCTAGGAGAGACATGATAACAGCATACAAAATACTGCGAGGAGTAGATAAGGTGAACAGAGACAGGATGTTCCATAGACGGGACTGAAATAAGGGGTCACA